TTAACACTGTTGACCATTATACTTTTTACTCATTAAACAGATAAGGCTCAAAGGAAGTCAAGCAATACTTGTGCCATAGCTGCTGAGGTCTCTCATAAAGTCATCTAAAATCTTTTACGATATATCTGGAATATAACTACCAGAAGTTAGCTTTGTGTCTCATTTGTGATACATAGATTACTTTTTTCCATTAAGGGCATAATTGGGCCAAAGATGAGTATCTTCAAGTGATTTTGAATAAATGAACAAGTGATTAAAATATATAAGTTGCCAAGCATTTCTGTCAGAGATCTGCCAAAATGGATGTACCAGAACATGAATGGCAGTATAGACAGGGGTGGGATTCAATACTTTTAACAACCGGTTCTGTGGGCAGGGCTTAGTTGGTGGGCGTGGTTTGGTGGTCATGTTATTGGCTATGTGTGGCCAACTCAATATCACTCACATCAAGGCACGCATCTCCTCGCCTGGCCTCTCATGACTGTGGAGATGCTGCAACAGTCGTAAATGTGAAAAATGGTAATAAGTCACTTTTTTCAGTGCCATTGTAACTTTGAATGATCACTCCACATAAGCAAAGTACCAGCAAAGGAGGGGGAAAAAACTCCAGAGAAGTTCCTGAGACAGGAAGTCTAGTCCTGCCAAGAATATAATAAGGGTTAACGGAGAGGCAGTTTCTGTAAGCAACATCAGACTGTTTCCTTCCTGCCTTCCTTACAGGATTAGGCCAGTAATTTCTTCTAACAACCGGTTCTCTGAATTGCTTAGAATGTTAACAACTGGTTCTAGTGAATAAGTGCGAACTGGTAGAATCCCATCCCTGAGTATAGACCTAAGCTTTTTAGCATAGTCTTTGGTAAAATATTTGTGGAAGAAGGTCATTTGTTTCTGATGAATGAATGAGTGAATTAATTGGATCTCATTAAATCAGGGTTGTTCCCTTGAAGATTATATTACAAATGTTTACCATCTACATGTTTATTGTATTCTTTGATCTTGTTTATTTATTTTATCCATTATCATCTTTTACCTCCCTTAACCTTATCCTCATCAAGATTTTTTAACATAATATCATCCACTTGCATCATATATCCGAACTATGTGGCTTCTGTTTGCTGACTATCACTTCAAGGAAGTTATTTGGTTCTGGATGGGTTCTTTCTCTTGTTCAATAGTCTTGCTGTTATTTTCAGCAAGAATCTGTGCATCCATAGTTTGAAGATGTGTCCTTCTATTGTTCTTTCTCAATGTCCTGTTTTCACAATCATGCATGTTTTAAGTATTCAGATAGCTGCCATTTTAAAAATATGCATAGTCTTCAGGTTCTTATCTAAATTTGTAGCTAGCTTGCTTTCTAGAATTAATCTAGTATCCTGTGCAGTAATGCTAACTAGCATGCTTAAGTTCACTAACCTTTATTTTCTTAATATTTAACATTAAACAGGATTTTTCATGTTTACTTTCCTAATGAAACCTTATTGTGGCCAACAGTGTTTTTATCAATATGTCTTAAATTGTTAGTGGTGTCCTTTTTTTTTTTTTTTTAAACAAGTTTTATTAATTTTCAAAACACACAAGTCATCATTATCCATTACATGTTTAAACCTTTTTCCATTATAAATTTAACAAGTCAGATAAACTATAATTCTGTTTTAAACCATTTCCATATAAACATACCAAAAACCTCTTATCCAATTTCCCTTTATTTCTCTTTACTCTTATTCAATTTTATTATTATTATTTCATCTACTTCTTTCTGACTTAGTTACCATTATTCTCATTCTATATTTCTACAAGGTTTTATTAATTTTCCCCCCAAAAAAACAACATAATCACACAACACACAAAACATAAAAAAGATCTTTTTGGAAAGTAACTTGGACCCAGGTATCTCTCTTTTCATGGACTTCAATTATATTCAGGCTCATCTTACATATCATTACTTATTTTATTTACCATTCTAAGTCTTCTATATTAACTTCTCCACATATTTCACTCTTCTTGATTCTATCTTAATTAATCATCTTAATTTGAGTCATTATATTTATATCTTTTGTCCATTCTCTATTATACCTTTGTCTCATTCCTTTTAAAAAGAAAGAAATTTCTCCTGAAATCACTAATCAGAGTATGATGCCTTTCTATCTCCCCACTAAATTAATCAAATTAATCTTTAAAATACCCAATCCGATTTTGCTTGGTATATTCTAACTGAATAATACATCTAAAACAATTAAATACATAGTTAAACAATAGATTTAAATATTAAAAACAAAATACTATAATGAAAGTTTTATAATAACATCAATACCATAATCTTAATAAACTCTTTAATTAAAGTTTAAACATTTTAATCTCTTATCAACTCTCAAGCCATTTAAATTTTCTATTTCTGATACAATACTACAATATCATCTTATGTACCTTGCAAAATCTCTTTGAAGAAATTATACTTATCCTTTATCCCTAAAAAAAATTTCTTTTTTCTCATTTAATTTCAAAACTTTGTAGCTTTTCTCCACCTTTTCCCTTTCTTTCTTCCCCCAACAAACCTTTCTAGCCCCCCTTCTTCTAGCCTCTGCCTTACTGGCTTCCCTTCTCTGTCGCATTCCTCTTCCCTTTTGTTTACCATCCTTATATTGATTTTGCACCTTGTTTTTCCCTTTCTTAAATGTTTTTTTAAATCTTAAGTCCTTTATTTCTCTTCTTTTTCCTCTTCCTTCCCTCTTGGTCGAGTTCTGAGATTTATTAAAGATGGCTTCCTCTCTTTGTTCTTCTTCTGCTGTCTTCATCTGTTGCAATGTTTGTTGATAATTAATAAGCGCCATTTCTAAAAAAAGGAAGGCTTCTTTCAAACCAGCTTTACCATTTTGTTTTGCTTGCTCATAATCTTTTCTCAGTTCCTCGATAGAAGAAGCCATTATAAATCTTTTCTTTTCTTTTCTCTTACAACAGCCAGAATATTCCAAAGGAAAAATAAGACAATCCCAAAGTTCTCAGTCAGTCCAAACCAAGACAGAGTTCCCACTCTCTCCTCCTGGGGTAGTATCAATTAAAGAAAAAGAAAGTCCAAATCTGTTTCTTAAAATCTTATTACAATATATTTTAGTCTTTCAATCCTTAAGGCATCTCCTCCAACAAGGTCTTAGCATACAAATATTTTTTTTTTTAGTCCTCTCTTTTCCCACTCACCGCTTAGAGCCAGTTTTCACCTAAAAAAAAAATAGGTTTCTTAATGTTCACTTTTTATTCCGTAAAAAAAGAGGGTAAGCTATCCTTTCAGCACCATTAAACTGCCGCTTTTTTCCTCTTCTCGAAGGTATCATTCAGAAAGTCATACTTTTCAGGAATTTTGTTAAATATGTCTTAGAGTCCTAGGAACCAAGAAAGACTTTCTCCTCTCAAGCACTTTCTCCACTTCCTCCTGCGCATTCTTACCCGGCTGCCAGCTTCTTTGTGGCGGCCATTACGGACCGCCGCTGCACCGTCCTGGGAAAAGGGGGTTCTGCCGGCCGGGGAGGGGTCTGCAACACCCCCAAACCCTTCTCCGGATCCCCCCTACCTTCAGCTGCCCCTGCAGGGCAGCCTAGCTCCGTACCCGTCTGGGTCGGAGCCCCAAAAGCGGCTAGCGCGGCAGGGATCGCGCAGCTTCGCAAATCCCTGCCGCTCGCGAAGCCGACAAACCGGAAACCCCAGTGGTGTCCTATTTTGATTTCAGCCATAATGTCTTCAAATCCTGCAGACTGAGAATGTATTGTTGTATATTTTATACAGGTAATTAAAAGAGAAAAAATTGCCCAGAAGTCAACTTATAAGTGAAGACTATGCAATGTACTTGAGCCGAAGTTTATGTGGCATTCAGACAAAACAGTTATCATCAGGTAGATACAGATAAACAACATCTACATATCATTTGAAAAAGACAATAAAAAAAGAAAAAAGAAAAAAAAAGACCAAAACACATCCTCACCAGCAATCAATACTCAAATAAGCAGGGATTAATGTCAGGTTTAATACCAGATCAACAATCAAGCAGTAACAATATTCCAATCAAGGAACTACCATCTCAGACAAACAATCAAACAGTGAAGATTTTGACAGTTTTGCTGTACTGTTGTCTGTGGACATCCCCACTAAATGCAAACATGGGATAAAATGAACCTGGTTTGTTCTCAGTCTTTTAAGTGGCCACAAACTACTAAATTGGGACAAAAGTGGCATTTGATCACAAAGCAAAGAAGCATCGAGAAATGTTCCACCTTTTGCATTTGAGCATTCAAGAAGGGACAGGAAAGAAGAATGAAGAAGAAAGGAAAAAGAAGAAAAGGAAGGAAGGAGATTATAATGAGAGAGAGGGAGGAAGAGTCTGAGGAAAGTCCCGCCTTAGCACTTGGCTACCAGCAGCCCTGCTGTCCTTTCACCATCTCCTTGTCGCCTCCTCCTGACTTCTCCTGGTATTCTCTCATCCTATCTCTGAGGATGCTTTGGTTACAAAGCTGGTCTCCTTGTATGGAGAAAGAATGGGTCTCCTCTGACCCACACACTTTGTCCTCCCGCACACACCAACCTGACCAAGCATAGCAACCAGCAACCTCTAGGAGGAGGTAAGTGCTGGGCAACCCCTTGGAGAAGGCTGGGCTGGCTGGGCACTTGTCTTCCACTGCCATGGTTCCACTGAGTGATGTCAAACTGGCCACACCCACCCCATCCACGGCCACCTAAGTCAATCACAACCTTGATGTCAACCATAATCTTGATGCGGCCCTCAATGAAATCAAATTTGAAACCCCTGGTTTAAATTGTGGTATTCAGAAGTCAGGTTTTTCCCAAAATCCATTCCCTTATCTTGAGACACCTGCTGTTCTTTTGTTTTATGTCATCTGCTTTATTTTTCCCTGCTATTTTAAAACAAATTTCCTCAGGTATTTTCATTCATTCATTTATTTATTTTATATATTTATATGCCAAACAAATCTCACAATTCCCAAATGCCCCAAAATTCCAAGGATACTTTACTTACAGAATGTGAGTACATCTGGAAAATTCTGAACAAATACATTCATCTTTATATAACAGAAAAGCTACATTCTATTAGTTCTGAGCAAAAACAGAATTTTATCAGTCAGCACAACTCTGATTTACGTATAGAAAAAAGAATCTAGCCCGATTGACCTTGAGACTTTATATTTGTACTGATGCCAAATGGATTGTTCTTGCATAATGACAAATGAACCTAGAATATGTTTTCTATTTCAGAAATCTTACAGCTCTATCTATCTTTGTCTATCAGTTCCACCTGACTTATCATAAGGATATGCTTGTCACTGCTTTGCTTTGCACCAGAAGATTTTTCACACTAGGACTTGCTTCACTGTCATTCGGACAGACGAGGCCCAGTAATGATCTGTACTAACCACCACCCCATTATGATGGAGACAAGCCATACAGAACCATGGATATTCTGGGTTTCCACTGAGCAGATGAGGGGATTTTCTTTTCCATTCAGAGTGGAATTTTTGACAGTAGTGTTATTCATATCCGGTTTTTTATCTGTAGAAATAAAAATACATACAGTGAATATACAAGATCAAGTGACTGAACCATGAAGCTGAATGAAGAAGTTGCCTCAGATCACGGGCAATTCTGCAGCATGCTGGAGTGTTATTAAATTGGACCTAACTGGTTTTGTTTTTATTCTATTATTATTTTGTCTCTCTCTCTGGTAGGTAAGGAGAGAAGTATATGTTGGTTTTCTACAATGTGGTATGCCAAGATAGGTGATTTTAAGTACCATGAAGCATGGTTTATATCTTGAGGAATAACTGTATTCTACTTTGTCTCAAGATTAGGATTTGCTCACTATCACTACAGACATGATTCACTTTCCATCCTATTCTTCTCCCCATCCCAAAAAAACTCCATTAAAATAATTATTCTAGTCTAATCCAAAGGTAAGGAACTTGGGATCCTCAGGAATGGTGGGATTGTAGCTCTCAAATCCTTCACCATTGAACATGCCTGCCAAGACTCGTAGGAATGAATTCAAGCAACTTTGGGGAGCTGGTGAAGTTGTGTATATATAGAACCAGTTTGGTTTAGTGGTGAAGGTACCAGATTAGAAAAAAGGAGATCATGAGTTTAAGTTTCACCTTGGCCATGAAGTTAACTGGATGACTTTGGGCCAGTCACTCTGGCCAGTGACTGTTTCAGCTCATAGTGGTGGTGTTGTGAGTTAAATGGGGGGGGGGGGAGGTATATTGGATATTTTCGCCATCTTGTGTTATTTATAAAAAATAATGCAAGAGGTGTGTGTGTGTGTGTGTTTAATTTATGGAACAAATAGAAATGCATTGGTATAAAATAGTTGCTTTGTTTTCACACAGTAAAAGTATCAAGTAAAAAGAAGAATATATTCCCATCAAAGGTATATTTCCAAATGCATTTTCCCATCAACTCTCCAGTGTATTCGGAGGAAAGGCATCTATAATTCTAAGTGCTACAGCTAATTGCTGCTTTGAACTAATTGTTTACCTTCCCCAAATTATCAACATATTGAATAATGCAGAACAGAACTCCTGCTAAAATGTTTTTCATTGAGAAATACTGTACTTGTTAATCTTTTTATAGGTAAAGTCAGGGGTGGGATTCAAATTCCTTGACAACCAGTTCTGTGGGCATGGCCTAATTTGTGGGTGTGGCTTGGTGCTCATGTGACTGGGTGGGTGTGGCTTGCTAACTAAGGGAGTGGCTTGGTGGTCACATGACTGGCTGGGCATGGCTTGTATTTAAATATTATAAATATTTATGTAAATATTGAATTTTTTATTTAAAAAAAGAATAACTTTTACCCAAAATCAGGCAAAGCGGATGAGTAGCTTGCAAAATCACAGATTCACTCATAGATCTACCTTTCTGCAATCTGCTGCCTGAATCTGCACTGAAAAATAGAAGCTTCAGTCCTAAGGAAGGTGCAGCTCTACTCTCAGGCCACTTCTCCCCCAGCCTCCAGCCCCCAACCCCCTGAATACCACCCCTGACTGGGCCTCAGGGAAGCCTCCTGGGTGAAGGCAAAGCAGTACAACAACCATTTAGATTAGCTAGAAAGCAAGAAATCTGACAGGAGGGGAGGGGAGAGGCCAACCAGTGGCGTGATTTGCCGGTTCTCTGAACTGCACAGAATCGTAACAACCAGTTCTCTCTATATATATTTTTTAAACAAGTTTTATTCAGTTTTCCATATTTTAACGTCTCTTTTTAGTGAACAGCATGATTACAGGTTTCACATATACATACAAATATGACCATGGTTACATATTCAATTTTTATATCCAATTCCTTATCTTAACAGTGCTTTTATACATTTTCTATTTTATTGTATTATATTTATCTCATTATTTAATTCACTTATAATAACTTCATAATCATTATACTTTAGTACTTTTAACTGTCACATTTGTATATTTCATCTTAAATTCTAATTTTTTAAAAAGACACTTCTTCTATAAATTGGTTTCCCCCCTGAAATCTCAATATAAGTGCGCCACCTCTAAATTATAAATTCATTTATTTTCATCCCTTTTAAATCTTGTTAAAACATTTAACATTATTACCTAAAATATTAAACTTAATAATCCCTTTAAAACTACATAGCATATATAAATCAGATTCTGCATTATTTTTCTCCTTTTAAATTTCATTAAATTCCCCTCCCCCAAAAAGGACATATTAATCTACTCATTCAAACAGTAAAACAATCCTAAGCCCTAAAGTTAATTCCATTTCAGCTCTCCTCCTATATCATTTCATTTATTTCCATATATTTAATACACATATTCCATTAATTATTCCATTCATATTTAAACCAAAAAAAGCCAACATTCCAAACTTAAAAATATTTCAATATATCTAATATACTTATTCCATTATTTGTTACAATTATCTCTCTACATAAAGAGGAAGAGCATTAGATTTCATTATCCAAAAAATAACAATTCTGTTTTTCCATCTTGTCAGTCTATATGTCCCTATTTTGTAACTATAAATTTATTTATATTACCCCTCAATACCTTGCAGAATCCCCTTTCTATGTAATAATCACCCATTATCTCTTTGTCCAATTAAGGATTTCCCCATTTTTTTATAATCCCCATATTTCTTTGTTTCCAAATCCTGTTTCTTGTCCCTTCTTTCCCCCTGTCTTTTCTCCTTTGTTCTTTCACTCCAGTTTTTATCCCTCTCTCTATTTATAGCTTCCTTTCGCCCTTTGAATTTCTGCTGACTCTTTTTCCCTTTTTTAATTTTTTGGATATTCCCCTTTTTATTTAATTTCTTAAATCTCCTGTATTTATTTCCAACTCTTTTCTTCTTTTTTTCAAGAGTTCTTGGTTCTCGATGATCACTAAAGATGGTCTCTTCTATGATTTGCCCCACCTCCTCTTCTGCCGTTGCATTTTCAATAAATTTTAAAGCAAAGCCCAGCGATTCACCTCGTTCTTGTAGTGTTTCTTTCATTTTTCTGAGTTCCATTTTTAATGCCAGAAGAGAAATCGCCATTTTACAACTTTCTGATTTGCAATTTAATCCATTTTAATTTAATCCAATTTAAAGTTTATTTCTAACAGTCAACTTTTCTTCCTCTCAAGTTTTTAAGTCTCTGCTAATCCAGTACCAAATTCATGTCAGAATCAGCAACTAATCCAAAGGCAGAATCTTCCTAATTCTTTCTTTGTTACAATGTTTCAATTTTTCAAAGTTCTTGCTTTATTGTATCAATTTCCATGCAATTTCAAGAAACGAGTTTTTTTTAAAGAAAAACAAGTTGAGTTTAACTGAGATGGCACTCTTTATTATGCTAAGTCTTCACCCACTCTTTTCTTTTTTCTTCTCTATTATTCAGAGCTTTTTAAACCACAATTTTCCAACAAGAAAAAGATCAAATCCTGTTGATATTAAATTTCCTCTTTAACAGTCTATAGTTCAGCTTTATTAGTGCCAATATAAAATCAAAGTATACTTATCCAAGTTGATTATATAGTTCCTTCTCCAGCTTCTATCTTTTGTGGTTTTGAAGCCCTGACACTATCAAAAGCAATTCACACCTTTGTTTCCCTTTCTCTTCAATGCCTAGATCCTTTCTTAAAGATTCTTTGAAATGTTAATCCTGAGGGTATCTTCCATTTGATTATATCATCCCGTTCCTCCTGCTATTCACTTCTTTCTCTCTCTCCTGCACAATCTTATTCCAGTCTAATCTTCCCCTTCAGGGTGGCCATTTTAGACTACCACTTCAGGTGTCTTCGAGAGGGAGCAATTGCCAAGCCGGGGAGGGGATTTGTGACTCCCCTCTACCCAGCTGATGGTCTCCCCTTCCTCCGCCACCCCATGAGGTAGCTTCTGCCCTGAATCCAAAGGATTGGGGCTCTCCGACACCAAAGCACGAACCAAAGCCACGCACGATCGCGATCAGCGGTCTGTCTTTGGGAAATCTCAAAACAGGAAGTCCACAACCAGTTCTTTAGAACTGGTCCAAACTGGTAGAATCCCACTCCTGGGTAAAGTGGAACTTTAAACTGTGCTGTTTCAATTCACAAATGTTTCAGGCTTCAATTGACCCTGAATCTAATGTAAGTTGTAACTCTCTTTATTTTCAGTTGCAGTCTTTATAACAAAGTTCAAAGTCCATAATTGCATAAACTGAGTGTGACTGAAAAAGGAAACGGAATAGAAATATTTAGAAATCTAATAACTCTTATCCAGAAAATTTTAAAATACACTAAATGCACAAAATTGATATTGTGCTACATGGATGTCATAATTTTATGGCAGAAGTCATTCAGGAGAACTCATATTTCAGTACTACAGTATTAAATTGTAAAAAAAAAGCAATTGTTTTGGCTAGGTCTCCCTTTTACCTGGGTGTAAAATTTGATATAGAAGTCATCAAATTTGATGCAAAGATGTAGAAGCCATTGTGTGTTATGGTTTCATAACCATCATGGGCTGAAATTTGATATCATTTTCCTTTACTTAGTGTCACAGCAAAACTGACTAAGGAACATGTGAACAGGGCATGGAATATCTCAGCTCTAGCAAATTGAACAATGAAATAGAAGATAACACCACACATTCATTCTCCACTATTTCAGTCACTTGCTTGAGTTATATGAATGTGCTTCAGAAATACCCAGAGACCATTCCACTGTCCTTCCTAAACTGATTTCTTTAATATCTGTATCTGAGCAAAACAATGAACTTGTATGTAAGGTTTACTTTTCTCTGCCATCATTTTTTAAGATAAATCAAACCAAATCCCATTGAGTAGCTGATCAGGTAGAGAGGTCTGATGAATTGCATGTTCATTTATTACCTAAAGTTTTTTAAAATCTGGTTTTGGAAAACTCAGAACCATAAAATAAACTTACAATGTTTGCAGGAGACATAAAAAATTCTCCCACAGATTATTTACTAGCTGCTACTGTACATTGTTTTTATAAAATGCCAAAAACATGAGTTTAAGAAAAGCTTACCAAGGCGTTTAACCGTCAGTGATACTGTATTTGTCTGTTTCTGGACAATATCTTTCCAAGTTCCATCAGGGTCTTGAATCCACTCCACTGCTTCCCAAAACAGTTTCCCTTGATCTGAATGTTGAAGTTTGATGATGGAAAATTTATATTCCGTATCCCCAATTTTCACTAGCCTGATATTTCCTGCGTTGAACCGCTCAGTGTAGGAAGGGCCTGGAAGCAGAACATTATCTTTGGACAGGGAAAGAATCTTCTGGGCATTTCTGTCCTTTCCTTCTGGTATTACATACCAAGCCACAGAAATGTGGGTATGTTGTGCTGTTGCCACCAATACTTGACAAATAAGATCCAAAGAATCGCCTTCATTTTGCATGAAAACCTGTGACTTCATGGTGACAGAGAGTGTGTCTGGAATTACTAAACAGAAAGAAAAGACCAATTGCAATTTTAAATTCTTCAGACAGAAATCCCTTTTTGTAGAGGGGATTGTGGTGTACTAGTCAAAGACTATGATAACAATATATTAATCTTGAAGGGGTTGCGAACTTGGATTCAAACAAGACTAGGATGAAGGACAGTAAAATACTAGCATGCTAATACATGGTACTTCTGGCCCTCGTGTTTTCTGAAAGGATGCATGGGAAACAACCAACAGTTAAGGGTATACTTTGTTTAATGAGAAAAGGAGGAAGAAGCAAAATGAACTTTACAAGATATATGATTGGAAGTTTGTTTCTAAGTAGTAAAACAAGAGAGAATGGAGACCAAAACCCAAGTGACCATTCCATCCAACTTCTCATTGCCCAATTGTAGGATATAAATTTACATTTCAAATCCTGCCATTTGCCAGCATTGATTAAATGATGCTTTTCGAGCTCAAAAAATGGTGGCTGCTTTTCCTTTGGAAGCTTTCTCTAAATTATATTTTTTACTTCTTCTCTTTTTGCAGTTTCCTTAGTCTCTGTTCTGTTTAAAAATTTTCAAATCCCTTTCAACTCTCTTACATTTCCCTCACTAATTCTAACTCAAGAGCACTAAAGGTAAAACATATCTCTATATTTTTCTTTCAGACTTCCAATAATTTTCATCTCTAAACATAAACTCATGTGACAACATCACTTAGCAACAGAAATCCCAGAAATCCTCATTGCCATTGTTAACTAAATTCCACTGATCATTAGGCAAGGACCCATCCCTATCCAAGACATTCCCTGCTTGGTCACTCCCAGGCCTGAGTCTCATTAAAGTAAGGGATTGCCTTCTCTTGAATTATCCTCATCCTGCTATATCACTCCCATTTCTGTACTTTTGACTCCCTGCACAGTAGCACTTTTCAGCAGCATTGGCACTGGAGGCTGAAGTAGAGGCCCAGGGCCTTCAGCAGTTTTAGCTGGCTGCCAAGGTCCCCAGACTCTGCCACCACTACTGAGGAGTGCCACCTCAAACCCCGCTCTTCAACTGTGGTACTGGGGCTGAAATAGGGGCTGGGAATGGTACAGCTAGCTGACATGGCTGAAGGACCCAATTCTTTACTTTAACTCCAGTGTCACCAGTGCCATTACTGCCAAGGGTTCCACTGTGCAGGTGGCCAAAAGGATACAAATGGAGCAGTGGTGGGATTCAATTTTTTTTTTACTACTGGTTCTGTGGGTGTGGCTTGGTGGGCATGGCAGGGGAAGGATACTGTAAAATCTCCAGTCAGAGATGGTATTTGCCGGTTCTCTGAACTACTCAAAATTTCCGCTACCGGTTCTCCAGAACTGATCAGAATATGCTGAATACCACCTCTGAAATGGAGTCACATAGGCAGGTGGCAGAGTTGAAGAGCCCCTGCAGTCATAAATTAAACAGGATGCCAAGTCTGAATTATTTATGTTATTTGTATCCCACTTTTATTATTTCTACAAATAACTCAAGGCAGCGAACATCTCCAAGATACCTTTTCCCATTTTCCTTACAACAACAATCCTGTGAATCCTTTGGCTGGCCCAAAGTCACTCAGCTGGATTTCATAACTAAGGGAGGACTTGGACTCATAGTCTCCTGCTTTCTAGTCTGTTGCCTGATCATTTAGACCAAACTGACTCTTTCTGATCATTTGACCACAGGAATATTGCAAAGGCCATGATTTCAGGTACGGAATGTAAGAACCATTTGTCAGCGCTGCTGGAACTTGGAATGGTCACTGGACAAATAGTCATTCAGTAAGGACTACATGTACAATCACTGAAGTATATAGTACAATACATTGCTTATGTATGCTGTAATTTTCAAATGCTATTTTGAGAAGCTGTTTTCATGAAATAACTGAGCTCTTCAGGTATTGTGCAGTTGCAATGTGTTTTTTTTCTTTTTTTCCCATTCAATTGAATTTGATTCTTGGAGACTATCTGCGTAAGTCCTTGCAGTTTTCTTAGGAAGAATTTTCAAAAGGGGTTTTCCACTGCCTTTTTTTTTAGGGCTGAGACAAAAAGGTGATTAGCTCAGTTGACTTTGTGTCCAAGGCAGCCCTGGAACTCACAGTTTCCTGGTTTCTATCTTGATGCCTTAACCTCTTACCAAACAGACTATCTCTGGCAAAGATATTAGGCCTGTACAAAAAAAGCCACATCCAAATTCAGTCACATCCAAATTCCAATGTAAGTTCTGAATAATTGTGGAGGAGATTTTGGGCTAATGCTTCCACCATATGTGTGACCATGGCTTCTTGGGAAAAGGCTAAGATTGAAGTCCTTGATCAATTTCAATGAAGCACAATCAATCATTCCAAATCTATGACCAAGGTACCCACACATTCTTTCTGTTTCTAAGTAAAGTTAAAACAAAATTAATTCTTTAGTTTTGTCTGAAAGTTACAGGATCCAATTAAAAGCTGACTGAATGTTCATCACTAAGAAGATTTAATCTAGCCAGGTAGCTAAAGGATTCCACAAATAGTATTATAATGGATATAGAATTAATTAATAGTGCCACAAGTATAACGTTAACATCAAAGTGGAATCAATTATCTAATTTGTTCTGAAAATTTACAATTATGTATTGTTATGTAGTAGAACAACTTACGATCACTAAGCTGAACCTAGATAAGCATGTATAGTGTCTCACAAGTAGTTTTGTACATTTCACTCTCCATGCAGAATAGAAAAAAATCTAGTAGAGTAAATCAAACATCTGACATGAAAATTTATATAGGGTTATAAGTGAATAGGCACCCCATACTTTATCATACCTGAGACATTTGTTTTAGCACTGTAAGTCCCAAGATAAACATCTTCTGTGTTGGGTATGTGACATTCATATACACCTGCATCACTATCCTCGAGGTCCATGATGTGCAGGAGAACAGAATCTTCCTTGAGCTTTTCAATGTAGATTTCCCCACTTTCAACACGCTTGGAGTAGACTTTGTAAGAGAATCTGCTGTCTCCAGTGCTGATGATCTTCATCTCTCTCTGTGGAGCTGATAGCTGATAAGTGGACCACTCAAAATTCAGCTTCTCCGATTTTTGGTAGCCACTGACATTACACCTAATAGTGATGTGTGTCCCTCTTACTCGATAAAGAGGTCCTTTTTGAATAGACACCATTCGGACTCCCACACATGGGTCTATGAACAAATTATTAAAAGATAGTAGAATTAGTCCAATTTATTACATTAAAATATTCAAAAAAGACACTGTCCAGAACCATGAAGTGGTAGATGAGAGCAGGGCAGTTTAAATGTACCAACAACTATCATTAGATGGTGGTAATGTAATGCAAATTAGAACATTTGTGTGACATTCAAAAAACTTGCATTAGAATTCACAAACACTATGAATTATGCTTTAGTTTTATTAAATAATTCCTATTATTTTGATATACTTATATTGAGTTTTAACTTTGTTCCATATATTCAGTCTGTTTCTTCCTATGCATAGTCAGGCAACATTTTAGCTTTTGAAATATGATGTTATCATATTTCTAATCAGTAGTAAGATATACTGAAATGATTTAAAAATTTATAATAATTTAATAAAAGCTAATGTTCTAGAAACTTTTAATTATTACAAAAGACAATGCATAGTCATCTTTCTATAATCCAGCCAAGTACTTCTCTGCTTTAACTAATTTTGTAAAAAATTAATTTTAATTCAGAAAAAAAGAAAGTGAATTAAAACGAAGTACTGTATACCATTTAGGAGACTTATATATAATGCTGAATAAGAAATGTGACATTCCCATTAATATTGATCAAGAGTGGTTTTATTTCCAAGAAAATAAAAATATCTTAGTTATTTCTGGCCTTTAATAGGATGAAAAGATGGAATTCTTTATCCTGTTATATTGTTTAAATCAGAGCTCAAAACTGTTTCACGATAAATGGACTCCGGTTTGAGCTTCTTTGGCGACAGACCAAAACCACGTCTCTGTGTGGTTTCGATCCGTGCTCGCCACTGGAGCGCCCCGAGCCGGCTGGTTTTGGGGCTAAGCCACCCTGTAGAGGTGGTGAAGAAGGGGGAAACTGCCTGCAGGGTTGAGGAGAGCCGCATCTCTCCTCCCCAGCTGGCCATTACTCCCTTTCCCGAAGGCGGTTGTAGTGGTGGTCAGAAATGGCCACCACAAAGAAGAACTCGACTGGAAAAGAATGTGCAGGAGGAAGATAAGATGCGAAAGTTTTGGTTGACTGGGTCAAACAGCAAAAGCAACAAATAAGGTACCCTGGAATTGAAACTATTTAAAAAAAATAACATTGTTCCCTAAGAAGATTTCTAGCTGCGAAGGAGAGAGAAAAGGGAAAAGACTTGTTTTTTTTTCTCCTCTTCCTATGCTGACAGCTAAGCGACTTAAGCAAGAAATTGGAAAAAAATCCACTTTGACATTAATAGGCATTTAATGCTGAAAATAAAAAGTCAAAGGGATAATAAAGATTTCTGGATAATTAAAATCTTTTGAAAACAGGAAAGGAGAGAAAAAGAATAAAAGGACAGGTTCTGGAAGGGAGGAGACTGCCTGGAATTAAAAAGAACTTACAGAAAAATCTCAACAAGACTTCCAAAAGATACATCTTAACTGAAACATCGCAACAAAATAGTAAAACCCCAGGAAGAGAAAGTGAAAAAAGAAATAAGAAGAAACAGCTTGGGACTATTTGGATTACTTGTTGATCTCTGGATTCTTGGTTATTGCATTTGAATGACTAAAATCAATTAAGTGGTTGTTTAAAACTGTTTAAAATGGCTCCACTTTTAGAAGAACTGAAAATGGAACTTAAAAAGTACAAAGAAGATGCACAAGAAGGGAGAAGTTCTTTTGGCTTCTCTGGTATTTCAGTTCTTAGAAATGGAGATTTGGAACTATGAGAAACAATAAGAAATGCCTGCAGAACAGGAAGATTGGGACAAAGAAGAAGCCATCTTTAATGAACAAGTAATCTTAGGTGGGGGGGGAGGAAAGGGGGGAAAGAGAATGGAAAGGTTAAGATTGGGAAAAACAACCCCAAAAAAGAATAGAGTGAAAAATAAGTATAAAATCAGAAAGCAACAGAAGAGGGAAATGCAGAAGAGAGAATTAGAAGTAGGGAGACAAGGGGGTAAAAAGGGGAGGGAGAAGAAGAGAGGGAAGAAAGAAAGGAAAAGAAGTTATAAAGGACAGAAACAAAATATAGAGAAACAGGGCCTATTTAGAGATAATGGGTGAAAATCTAATGGAAAAAGGGATTCTGCAAAGGTACATAAGATAGTATTGTTATATTAGAAATAGAAATAATTTCAGAAAATATGAAACAATGTATGATTAAAATGTTTGATAAAATAGTTATAACAGTGGAATGCTTGTCAATAAATAAATGTAACAAAATTGAGTTCCGGTTTGTCAGGCTTCGGAGGCGGCAGGAATTTGCATTTGTGCGCGATCCCTGCCACGCTCGCTGCTGGAGTGCCTCTGATCCAGCTGGATTTGGAGGCTATAGTTATCCTGTAGGGATAACTGAACACAGGGGAGATCCGGACAGGGGCCTGGGGGCATCACAACCCCCTTCCTCAACCGGCTAAACTCCCTTTTCCAAAGGCGGTGGAGCGGCGATCAGCAATGGCCGCCACAAAGAACCTCTCAGCCGGACAAGTTTTGTGCAGGAGGAAGTGGAGAAAGTGAAAGTCTTTGGCTGAACCGGGACAATAAGTAACATCTGAACACCCTGGAAATCTAGCTCTCTAAAGGATACATTGTTTCCCAAGAAGATCGTAAAAAGCTGCGGATGAAAGTGAAAAGGGAAAGTTTTTTCTTCTTCTCTCTCCTTCCCTACAGAGATAGCAATGGAAATCGGAAACACCCGCTTTGGCAACAGAAGGTAACTAATTTTGAAAATTAAAGCCAAGGGGACATTAAAGATTTCTGAACATTGATATTTAAAAATCATTTTTTTTTTGCTATAAGTGGGAAGGGAGAGGTAAATGATTTACATTAAAATTCTGCTGGAGGAGACTGCTTGGAGTTTATAAGATCAGAGATTAAATTGCAATAAGACTTCTAAAAAATCATTTTGGAACTGTGTAATTGAACTCTACCCCAGGAAGAGAAAGTATTAAAAGAAGAAAGTGCTAAATGAAACAGTTTCTGTTGATTTGGATTGCTTGATGACTTTGGGACTTTTGCAAACTATTTTTTGAAAGTCTAAAAACACTTGGATTGTTTAAAAAAATAAATAAAAATAAAAATATATATCTTACAATGGCATTATCTGTGGAAGAATTGAAAATGGAATTTAAAAAGCTAGAAGAAGAGGAACAAGAAATAGATCTTCTGGATCTATTTTTCACTTCTTAGAAATGGCGATTTCTACCTATCAGGAAATACAGCAATCAGAAAGCTGGGATGAAGAAGAAGAAAAAGCCATCTTTAATGGACAAACTATTTTAGTTGATGAAGAAAAGGGAAAAGGGGGAAAGAAAATGGAGAATTCGAGGTCTAAAAAAACAACCAAGAAAGGGAAAAATAAGGTGAAAAATCGATATAATGTCAGAAAGCAACAGAAAAGAGGAATACAACAGAGAGGGGAGACTAAAAGGGTGGAGATTGAGAGATGGGTGGGTAAAAAGGCTAGATTCGACAAGAAAGGAAGGGAAAAAGGAAAGAGAAGTTATAAAGGCTTAAAAGAAGATGTTAAAAAACAGGTTTTTTTAGAGACAAAGGGTAAAATACAATTTAAAAAGAGATTCTGCAAAAGTACACAAGATTGTATCGTAGTATTCGTATTTGAAATAGAGTTAGAAAACTGGAATATTATATGTGTTAATAGAATATTGTAGGGAATGTGTAAAATATCTGAGATTTAATAATATCTAATATCTATGTATAAAATATCTAGATTTGATAATAGAGTTTAATTAATTAATTTGTTATGGAACATTGTTTTTACTATATTATAAGCTTATTATGTTTTTTTATTTTAAAATGTTATTTAGAATGTACTAAGCAGAATCAGAATGGAAATTATGTATTATTTTAAGTGTTAAAATTGGGGGAAAGATAGAAAGGCGTCATACTTCAACCACTGATTACAGGAAAAATTTTGTATTAAAGAGAAAAGATAAATAGACAATTGAAAAAGAATGGACAAAAGATACAAGTATAATGATTTAAATTGAGATGAAGTAAATAAAATAGAATTAAGAGAGTGAAAAGAGGGGAGAAGACATAGAAAATATAGAATGTTAAATAAGATTGAAATAGTATATAAGGTGAGCATGAATTTTATTTATGTCTGTACAAAAAGTTGTAACCCGGGATTAAGCCGCTTTCTAAAAAGAAGTTTTATGTTTTCATGTGACGTGTTTTGTTTGTTTATATTTGTTTATTGAGAATTAAGATTGTTGGATGAGAACATATGAAATCGTAAATAAGACAGATGAAGGTATAAGTTTAATGAATAAAATTGAATAGAAGTAAAGGGAAAAATAATGAGAAGTTGGAAAAAGAGTAATAAGATATGAAGCTGAATACATAAGATGCATATTAAATTGTGTTTGTATGGAAATGTGATAATTTGGAACTATGTTGTACTTAAATAAGATGTTTTATTTGCTTTCTTAAAAGAGGTTCTATGTTCTTACGTTTTATGTTTTGTTTGTGTATTGTCTTTGAAAATTAATAAAATTTGTTTAAAATAAATAAATAAATAAATGTAACAAAATGAATATTTAATGATTTACAAAACATATGTGAAGAGAAATAAGGGAAAAATTAATTATGGAGATTATATGTGTCTTTAAGGAAGTATGATATTTAATTGAAAAGAAATGTTAAAGATGTTAAGACTTTAATGATTATTAATGATAGAACTGAATCGGAATGGAATGAGGGTTTATAATTACATATATTTATAATCCTTTTTTAAAAAAAGAATATAGTGTGTATTATAAGAATGTACCAAGCAGAATTCGATTGGAAGTTATGTATTATGTATTATATTGAAGGTCATAACCTTAAGGTATATATTGAAGTTTAAATAAGAGTTGAATGGATATAATCAACAGATATATAGATGTCATACTCCAATTAGTAACTACAGGAGAAAATTTGTTTAATGAGCAAAGATAATATGAAATTGAAACAGAACAGACAAAAGTATAAATATAATGATTTGAATTGAGATGAGATAATCAAAATAAAGTTGAGAAAATTAAAAGAGGGGAAAAACTATATAGAAAATGTAGAATAGTATAAGATATGGAATAGAACACAAAATGAGCATGAAATTGAGTTTGTGTCTGTATAAAGAAGTTCAACCGGGACCATGCTATTTTCAAAAAAGATGTTTTACTTGTATTTTGTGTGTGTGAAAACCCAAATGAAACTTTATTAAAAAAAGAGACTGTTTCACGATAAAGTGCTTCACTCCTATAACACAGATGAGTTCAATATAAACACTTGATTTGTTTAATATTAAATCTTAGCTATCACAATTGGCATTTTGAGATATGTTATGGAACCAGCTGCACGTCTTGTGTAGTCAGATATCCTGACTTAAAAGATTAGTTGTTTTAACCTATGGAAAGTGATTCCTTTGGCAGCTAGAAGGTATGTAGATACAAGAAGATACCATAGTATGTACAGGACAACTCTTTACTTAGTCCCCTTCTATGATCTTTTGAAACTCAAAAGAGCCCTAGCTACTCTGCTTTTGAATAATATTACAGGACTTGCCACCCAATAATAAGCACAGTTCCTGTCATTTGATAACAATACCCAATTAGTGTGGTGGCATATAATAAGGCTTATAGTAACTAAACACAGCTGAAGCCACTTTCTTTTAGTTTGCTGGGTAGGATTTATTCTTAGATCTAGGTTTAGGACTGACTGGTTTTTTTATAATCAATGTTTCTTTTAAGTAAAGCTTTTTAAAATGTATATTATTTCTTTTGACTTACCTTCTCTCATATCATTTAATACTTTTGATTTTATATTTAGGATTGTTATGTTTGTTTTGTTATTTTATTAAACATTATTAAACCATCCAAACAACTTGTATAAGTTCCTGGAAGCTATTCTCACATTATATATCTTTGATTTATCCCACCTTTTTAATTGCAATTTAATATAATTTAATTTAAGTACTAGAAAAACACACATCTTCTATAAAAGATTATAAATGATATAAACAGCTATAGGTCCTGAACCAGTTTGTTGTGTTTCAAGAATTCATTCTGATCTTGCCACTAAGTATACATTGTGTTTTCTGGTTATATTGATATGGAAAACATGATAAACTGTAGTATAAATCCTAAAGTAAAATAACACCCCTCCTATCGTTAATAAAAAAGAAAAAAAAGCACTTTGATCCCACCTTCATGTACTTCCCTTATCCTCTCATGAGGATCAGCATCTCCAAAAACCTCTTTTGGTTAGTATTAATTTAAGAAAAGAAGACACAAAAGCAATAATCAGAAAAGAACAGGATTCATTAAATCTTTACAGCATGGACTCATCCTGATAGCATACACATATAAGCTACTATGGACAAAATATAGTGATAAGGAATAGTGGTGCCTGCAAGTTTCCTAAAATTGTGAAATAATTAAAAACATCTTTCTAAATGCTATCCAACTGGTCCTAAATGTAGAAAGACCTCTGTAAGTTAAGAACATTATCAATTCTTAGGATCATTAAATGGAACTTTTGTAGACAGATGTGATATTCCCTGAATATCAAACAGTGGAGGTTTGGTAGCTTATAGATGAATACCCAAAGATATCCAGTTGGCTAATACTGGAAAATATTTACATTGGCAAGAAATAGCAAACTTGAACTTAGACTTCTATAAAAAGAAACCACCTACATGAAACTCACCAAACAGCAACAGGAGCACAGCTGACAAATACAGAAGAGGCCCCATTAATACCAAGGTCAGTCTTCCTTCTTCTACAAGAAACATATGTACCTTTAATTGCTGAGATCTGGCAATGAGCTTTGCCTAATAGTGATGTGGAAACTACCACTTCTTTTTTGTGGTTTCCAAGTTTCACAGTGGAGAAACCTGTGAAAAGTTTCTCATAAATACTTAAGAGGACACAGATAACAACTTGCAGACCAATACAACAGTGGTTTATTAAAAAGGCAATGTTGTTGAATCTGACCTTCCACAATAGTCTCCGGATTTTTGTATTCTCAGGATAGGTAGTCCTTGACTTATGACCAGAATTGAACCCAAAATATATGTTGCAAAGTGAGACATTTGTTAAGTGAGTTTGGCTTCATTTTACAACCTTTCTTGTCACAGTTGTTAAGTGAATCACTGCACTTGTTAATTAGTAACACGGTTATTAAGTGAATCTGGCTCCTCCATTTATTTTGCTCATCAGAAGACTGGAAAAGGTGATCACTTGACCTTGGGACACTGCAACTGTCATAAATATGAGCCAGTTGCTAAGCACCTGAAGCACCATGTGACTGTGGGGATGCTGCAATGGATCTCAGTGTCAAAATCAATCATAAGTCACTTGTTTCAGTGCCATTGTAACTTAGAATGGACTGTTGTAAATTGAAGACTGCTAGTAATTTGAAGAATTTTTTCTTCTTCCACTCAGTGCTGTATTATAATTGCTGAAATATGTGATATGAAAACTAAACACTAAAACTTCACAGAAAAATAGGCTTTCAGAATAGAAGCTATCAAATATGTTTGTGCTTTCATTTATCTTAATATTTTCTTAATGCTTCTTAGTTCTTTCTGGATAACTTCAATCCTTATTCAAATCTTAGTTTTCCTTGACCCATGGAAGAGATGGTCTGCCTTTCCTTCACAGTTATGATAATGATGGTACAACACAGAGCCCACATTGTTCTTTTTCTTCTTCATGAAAAGAATAACATGGAGAGAAATGCTAATATTTTTCCAATAATACAATACAAAGCAATTAATTTGCAATTATAAAAAAAAATCCAATGTTTATTTCAAGTAAGTGGAAATCATGTATATTCACTTCATGACATTATAGAAAACAGTCAATGCATCAACTGGTAATTCAAAAGCCCTGTGATTACCCAGAAATAGTTCTATAAAATGGGAGCACTGAGTAATGAGCACAATTGGACATCTTGCTTATTTTTTTTTCTTTGAAGAATTAGGTATCCTTACCTGGCACAGTTATGCTCCAGGTCTAAACTTCTGGTGCTAAATCCATCTAGCTGCTAATGAATGTCAAAATAAATATTTTATTTTATTTTATTTATTTATTTTGTCAAAAGCTTACAATACAATAGAAATAAGAATAAACATAAGTTTAAATATAAGAAATAGGAACTAATAATTGGGGACAATAGGACAGGGAGGGTAGGCACGATTGTGCACTTATGCACGCCCCTTACAGAACTCTTAGGGATGGGGTGAGGTCAATAGAGGTTAGTTTGAGGGAAAAGGAGTGGGGGTTTGAGCAGGTGACAACAGAATCAGGTAGTGAGTTCCAGACATTGACCACTCTGTTGCTGAAATCGTACTTCCTGTAATCAAGTTTGGAGTGGTTTACATTAAATTTATATCTGTTGCGTGCTCTTGTGTTGTTGTGGTTAAAACTGAAATATTCATTAACTGGTAAGATGTTGTCACATATGATTTTATGTACTATGCTTAAGTCCAATCTTAGCCAGCGTAGTTCAAGGTTGTCTAAAGCCTAGAATCTCAAGTCTGGTGAGATTATAATTATCTTACATAATTATATAATAGATAGCCCCATAATCTTACATGGAAACAATGGGAGGGTCATAGCTAATTGTTGATAATATATTTTCCTTACATGAAGTTCTGTAGATCAATTCCAGAGAGCTCTATCTTTAAAGAATTAAGCGTTGGGAAAGAAGTTTCGTTTAAATCCTGAAAATCTGCAGGGAGTCAGAGTAGATGTTATATAAGATTATTTAAGAATATAGGGAAAGAACTATTGGATAAAGACAAAGGAATTCTATATCACATAGGGCTGGTTAGCTGCATAAAGGTAGTCCTTGACTTATGACCATGATTGAGCCCAAAATTTCTGTTGCTAAGAGAGACATTTGTTAAGTGAATTTTGCCTCATTTTATGATCTTTCTTGCCACAATTAAGAGAATCACTGCAGTTGTTAAGGACATGATTGTTGTTGTTTTTTAAACAAACTTTATTAATTTTCAAAGACAATACACAGACAAACAAAACATAAAATGTAAGAACATAGAACATCTTTTCTAAGAACTGCTTAACAAAACAAATAAAACATCTTATTTAAGTACAACATAATTCCAAATTATCACATTTCCATACAAACACAATTTAATATGCATCTTATATATTCAACTTCATATCTTATTACTCTTATTCCAACTTCTCACTGTTTCTTCCTTTACTTCTGTTCAATTTTATTCATTAAACTTATATTTTCATCTATTTCATATTACTATATTTCATATTGTTATTGTTTCATATGTTCTTATCCAACATTATTAATTCTCAATAAACAAACATAAACAAACAAAACGCATAACATAAAGACATAAAACTTCTTTTTAGAAAGCAGCTTAACCCTGGGTTACAACTTTTTGTACAGACATAAATCAAATTCATGCTCACTTTATATACTATTTCATATCTTATTTAACATTCTATATTTTCTATATGTCTTCTCCCCTCTTTTCACTCTCTTAATTCTATTTTATTTATTTAATCTCAATTTAAATCATTATACTTGTATCTTTTGTCCGTTCTTTTTCAATTATCTATTTATCTTTTCTCTTTAATACAAACTTTTTTCCTGTAATCAGTGGTTGAAGTATGACACCTTTCTATCTTTCCCCCAAATTTAACATTTAAAATAATACATAATTTCCATTCTGATTCTGCTTAGTACATTCTACATAACATTTTAAAATAAAAAACATAATAAGCTTATAGTATGGTAAAAACAATGTTCCATAACAAATTAATTAATTAAACTCTATTAGTTAAATCTTAGACATTTTGCACATTCCCTACAATGTTCTATTGACACATATGTTGTTCCAATTTTCTAACTCTATTTCAAATACAAATACAATACATTCTTATGTACTTTTGCAGAATCTCTTTTTAGATTATATTTTACCCTTTGTCTTTGAAAAAAAACCTGTTTTTTAACGTCTTGTTTTAAGCCTTTATAACTTCTCTTCACTTTTTCCCTTCCTTCCTTGTCGAATCTAGCCTTTTTACCCCCCCCATCTCTCAATCTCCACCCTCCTAGTCTCCCCTCTCTGTTGTATTCCTCTTTTCTGTTGCTTTCTGACATTATATCGATTTTTCGCCTTATTTTTCCCTTTCTTGGTTGTTTTTTTAGAACTTAAATTCTCCATTTTCTTTTCCTTTTTTCCCTTTTCTTCCTCAATTAAAATTATATGTCCATTAAAGATGGCTTCTTCTTCTTCATCCCAACCTTCTTGTTGTTGCATTTCCTGATAAGTAAAAATCGCCATTTCTAAGAAGCGAAGAATAGATCCAAAAGAGCCCTTGCCTTCTTGTTCCTCTTCTTTTAACTTTTCAAATTCCATTTTCAATTCTTCAACAGATACCATTGTGAAATTATTTTTTAAACAATCCAAATGTTTTTTTAGTCTTTCAAAAGATAGTTTACAAAAGTCCCAAAGTCATCAAGCAATCAAAATCAGCACAAACTGTTTCATTTAGCACTTTCTTCTTTTAATACTTTCTCTTCCTGGGGTAGAATTCAATTACACAATTCCAAGGTAATTTTTTGAAATTTTATTGCAATTTAATCTCTGATCTTATCAGCTCCAAGCAGTCTCCTTCAACAAGTCTTGGTATAAATCATTTACCTATCTTCCTTCCCACTTATAGCAAAAAGATTTTAATTTTTAAATGTCAGTCTTTAGAAATCTAATGTCCCCTTGGCTTTAATTTTCAAAGTTAGTTACCTTCTGCTGCCAACGCGGGTATTTCCGATTTCCATCTGCTATCTCCGTAGGGAAGGAAAGTGAGGAGAGAAAAAAAGCTTTCACTTTCACTTTCAACCCCAGCTTTACGATCTTCTGGGAAACAATGTATCACTTAAAGAGCCAACGTTCCAGGGTATTCAAATGTTGCTTGTCATCCCAGTTCAGCCAAAAACTTTCACTTTCTCAACTTCCTCCTGCACAAAACTTGTCCGGCTGAGAGGTTCTTTGTGGCGGCCATTGCTGAACGCCGCTCCACCGCCTTTGGAAAAGGGAGTTAAGCCACCTGGGGAAGGGGGTTGCGATGCCCCCAGACCCCTGCCCGGATCTCCCCTCTCTTCAGTTATCCCTACAGAATAACTAATAGCCTCCAAATCCAGCTGGATCGGAGGCACTCCAGCAGCGAGCGCGGCAGGGATCGCGCACAAACGCGAATTCCTGCCGCCTCCGAAGCCTGACAAACCGGAACTGCCCTAAGGACATGATTGTTAAGTGAATCAGGCTTCCCTGTTGACTTTGTTTATCTACACATAACACGCTTTTGAACTGCTAGGTGGGCAGAAGTTGAGGTGATAGGAACTCACCTTGCTACACTCTGCTAGGACTCAAATCGCTTGAGCAAAGACCATCCCCAGTATCATTAAGCCACTGAGCCACCACACCTCCTGCTTCCTAATTACTTTGCTTGTCAGAATCCAACCGAAGAAGTTGCAAATTGCAATCAGATCATTATGGGGATGCTGCAATGACTAAGTATAAGGATCACTCATTAACCACTCATCATAGGTTCGAATAGTACTGAAGAAATGATTGTTAAATGAGGACCACCTGTACTTTTCAGGATGAGAAAGCTATTACACTTTATCTCAATTTCAAATTAATAATGAAAATCTTCACCAGCCTCACCGCAGATCTCAGATGGGAGAAACATTTTATTTCTTATGATCAATAAGTCCAGGAAAATTACAAGTATGAGCAAGACA